AAATATTGGTTTGGTGACTTAGATTTGGCCAACTAAAGTAAGGAATGGTCAGGAAGATTACCATGAAGAAAAGGCTCAAAAGAAACTCAAAAGCTGAAGGCAGCAATGTAAGGAGCAGGAGCAGCCAGAGAGGGAGCTGAAGGTGGCTTGCCAACACTTGTGGGGCCCCTGAGAGCTGAAAGGAGTAACATTCACCAGCCAGGACCGGGACACCTGACTCACCATCAGAAACAATCACTTTTCTTGAGCATGGCAAGGGGCCCAGGGAAGAGAGACCTGAAACAGAGGAGCTGGGTAAAATACAGAGCAGGTAGAAATGGAAGGTTGCAGAGAGTTTAATTTTGACCAAGAACCCAAGGAAGTACCCCCTCTAGCAGAGAAGTATGCCTTCAAGTGTTTACAGAAAGGCACCAGGCACATACGTATAATACTTTAGTTAACAATCATAAAAATCACTACCAGTTATTAAATTCTTCCTAAGTACAAGCTCTTTTCTGGCAAAATCTCACTTAACTTTTCATTCATCTCAAGAACCTTTCCTCTTCTGGGCTCCCCTCCACTGGATTCCTCCACCAGCCCTTCCTGCCTCCAGGCTGAGGCCAGGCTGTGCCTGAAGGTGCGGGTCCTCCCATGCCTGACCCCACCGCGCCCAGTCCAGGCCTGTGGCTCCTGGTGACGTGCTGCCTCATCAGCCCACTCCCACTTCCCAGCCAGCAGCAGTGTCAGTCCTGGGAGCTCTCTCTCCTCTCAACTCCCCGCTCTGAGTACCTCCTCCTGAGCCCTTCTCCAGGGCTATTTTCCCACATTATTCCTTCAAATTTTGTTATTAAACAATTATATGAAAATCTCTCAGGGTGATGCCAAATATTACTATTTCTTTAAAAGTTCCCCCAGGAAATGCTTAGGTGTAGCCAAGATTGAGAACCACACCTGAGGGCACCTCACCTGTCAGTCACAGCTACTTAGGGGAATGAGATATTTTGCAGCAGGGAGGGAACACTGAGTTCCCCTTCTTCTGTTTGCTTCTTTCAGCCCTGAATCCTGCCCACCCTTCAGGTCTGATAACACTTCATTGTTCACTGGGAAGAATGCTACAGTCACACCTTTGGTGCAGGGAATCGGGCTAGAGAGCGCTTTGACTCACCCGTTATCAGCTGATAAGCCTCTTGACCAGAATATCAAATAAGAGGCAGAATAGCTAAGAGAGAAACCTACCTGCTTTGGGGGCAGTTTCTGTTTACCTTCTATGGAGAAATATTAGGGAAGGGAAGTTCAGGTTCCCACCATGTGTCGCCATGGTCATTCCTGGACAGGGGGCTTCCAGCATGAGTGGTGGAGCACATTTCCTCCCACTTCTGGCACCTATCGCAGTTGCTAGTGGGAACAAGACTGATGATGGTTGCTTGCAGAATTCTCTCCCCAGCAGAGAAGCAAAGTTAAAATCAGAAGTTTCTTTAGGGAGAGGAGAATCAGAACCAAGTGAATGGAGATCGATGGGATAGACCCAGAGTAGCTGGACACTGTCACCACTACTTTAAGGAGACACCTGGTGAGAAGGCTGCCAGGACCTCCATTCCTCAGACATTGCGGAAGGCTCTTTAACAAGTTCTGCATGATCTAACTCTCCTTTTTCAATATCTCTCATTGATTGCCAATTCTTCCAAAATGACAAATTGCTTTACAATATAAACTTCAGAGTGAGTAAGCTGGCAGCTCCACCAACGTTAGCTATTATCCAAGATGGAAATCTTCCCAAGGAGATTGGAGAGCGCTCCCTCCTGGAGGAGATGGGAATGCCCTCGCCTTGAGAATCACATTTATAAATAATCTTCTAGGAAGGTTATTTCCTGAGGTGATTTTGGGAGAAAGTTCCTTACACATTCTTAGCGTCCATTGCAGAGGATGACATTTTATCGCCAAGTCTCTGAATCTGGAGGACACAGTCTGTTAGGCGCTTGCAGATCCCCATACCCTGACCATGGCCAGAACTCCACATGTTTTTCCAGAATAAAGTGCCTCAAAGCAATGTGCTGTGATGGGAAAGTAAGGATTTTGAGACAGTTCTGGATTGCACCCCCAGCTCTGCCTTTCCCCTGCTGGGAGTCCTTAGGAAAGTTAATTCACCTCCGAGTCTCCATTTCCTCAACTATAAAATGGAGATAATAATATTAACTACAGTACAGGGTTTTTTACATGGATTAAACTTTTTAATGTCTGAAAATCCCTTAATAGCTTTCAACAAAAAGTAGCAACTAGCTGTGTCAGCTAGAGCAGGACAGAGCTTTCTGTTTTGTTTACAGCTTCCTCTGAGCCTTTTGCCCACAGCAATGTAGGCAGATCCCTCAGTATCTCCTTAAAGGAAAAAAAAAGTAGAAGGATTTCTCCTGTTTCTTTTCCATCCTCAGATTTGAACTTTTTCTGGTCATTATTAACTGGTCTCACTAAGGGTGGGAGTGGCACCTACTTTGAGTGTATCCCACAACCTTCTTACTGTTAAAACTCTGCACGGTCTTCAACCATCTGCATTTCTACTTGGCTCCTGACTTGCTCCCTTGGGTCTGGGTTACAGTGTGACCCTCATTAGGGTTTTGTTTCTCCTCTTTAAAAAACGTCTTCCTGGAAAATTACCCACCAAGATGCTAAATGTGGTTATTTCCAAGAGTTGGTATAACAGGTTATTGGGGTTTTTTCCTGTTTACAGTTTTCTATAGGTTATGAAATTTTTATAACAAGCATTCATTGCTCATGTAACTAGAAAAAAAAATCAGCTGTTTCAAACAAAATAAAAATGATGCCCTTTACTCTTTCTCTGACACCACACTATGGGATGTGGTGCCTTTGTGGCTATAAGACTTGGCAGGCAGAGGTCACATCTGCAAGGGGCTTCAGCAACACTCTGAGCACGCCTTTGAACCCCTGAGGGGAAGAAGCTCTCCAGCAACAATGAAGTTTTATAAGTTGGCATTTCCAGACACCAGTGAAACCATCTTGCATAAGTTACCACTTGATTTCAAGTAACAGAACCCCAACCTGAATTAGCTTAAACAGATAAGCGGATTTTTTTTTAAATAATGGGGCTGGGATAGCTCCTGGAACTCAAGGAAAGAATGTGTCTGGACCTCAGGAATAGCTGGAATCAGGACCTCAAACACTGTTAGGACTCTCTCTGCCACCCTCCTGGGTTTGGTCTGCTACATCTTACCAGCTTTCTCCACCTAATAGAAACCATGGATCCTCGGGACCATATCTTATACTTTCAACTGCTGGATAGAGACTGATTTGATGCTCTCTGTGTCCAAAGTACAAATATTCTGCATAAGGATTTCATTTGCCTAGGTTGAGTGAGATGCCCATGCTGGATTAATTAGCTGTGGTCAAGGTACCAGGTATTAGGTGGTGGCCTGAAAGATCAGGGTCAATAGTGCTACTCAAAGTGTGTCCTGTGTACCAAGCTGGCCCACAAACTGTTTGTTACCCATCTGAACAATTCTGATACCAAAATTGAGAATAAACATTTCTAAACTTTTATAATAATTTTACATCTCTATGACACTCAAGCATGTGATTTTGTATTTTCCCAAAGCATCAATTTGTGTCAAATTGGAAATTTTAAATTTTAAATAGTTTGAAAAGCACATGGCAACTCCTTCAAGAATCACGTACTTAGGAGGGGAAAGGGAAACGTAGTGGAGGGATGAAACAACTGGTGTCCAGTATATATTGCCACACAGCTCTGCAGCTCAGCTCTACCAGACCAACCCACACTACGGCCCTTGCCCTCTGGAAGACACCAAGGACTAATTTGTCTCCCCCATAAAATTCATTATACTTGTAACGGACATGCTTAGTGACTGTCTTTCCCCACTTTGGCATAAGCTCCATGAGAACAGAGACCATATCTGACCTTTTAACAACCACCACCCCATGCCTAGTCATGGGGGCTCAGTAAACGATTATGGTGAAGAGTCACCGCACTTTAAGGATATACTAGAGACAACTTTGGATATATCCGGACAAGAGGTCACTGCAGAAAAGTCCCAACAGGACCTGCAGCTGCCATTAATTCCTAGAAAGGACACTGCTGATAAACTGTGGTTGTACTGGAAAGCCCGATATTGATATAGTGATCTTTGTGTATATACCCAAAACCTACAGCTCACCATGGCCCTGGTAGTTCCTTGTGGAAAGGGAGAAAAATGGGACATTTTTGATACATTACTTAGTGACCTTGGCTTCATCGTATGCTGTAAATGAATACTAGCTTTTCCTAAAGTGGACACAAATATATGAAGCACTGAGCTCATGCGGAAAGACAAGAGAAGAAAGATACCTGGGTTAGAAGTCACAGCTATAAGGTTTTACTATAAGCCCTATCAATAATTTGTACTGTTACCTTGGACAAACCATTCTCCCTTCCTGGATCCCAGATTATCAAGCTTTAAAATGAGGAAACTGAAATAGATAAATTCCAAGGGCACTCTCAGCTCCAACCATTCATAATTTTCTCATTCTGTAGACATATGCATGCATGTCCTTCATCAGTCAGACAATGAGAAGGTTCATGGTTTATGGACTTGGTATTTCTCAGAGATTTGATGCTGCTTAGTGGTGGCAGCTTTGTTGTCTTTAGCCAGAGTCTAATCGGTTGTGTTGAGGGGTCTTATTTGTCTGCTTGTGTCCTGCCCCTTGTCTCACAGCCATGCTGCAGGCGGTGCGGGCCCTAATGATTGTGGGCATTGTCCTGGGTGCCATCAGCCTGCTGGTGTCCATCTTTGCCCTGAAATGCATCCGCATTGGCAGCATGGAGGACTCCGCCAAAGCCAAAATGACACTGACCTCGGGGATCATGTTCATCGTCTCAGGTAAACACAGAGCCTGTGGTTCCCACTTCTGGGAATGTCAATGCTAAATCATTCTGGTAGAGGAAACATGGCTCCTCCCTACTGTTGAACATGGCTCACACTAGGATTCAAGATCTGAGTTTGGAGGCCCAATTATGATCTACAGAGTCATCACGAGTGCTAAGATCCCTCTTAGCTGCCACCCCAACCCCAATATAAGAGGTTCTCAACCCTAAGATAGCCATGTGACTCGACCCCTAAAAGGCATTTTCTATGTGAGACTCTAGAAAGCAATTTTATGGGAGAAGCTTTTGACATCACCAAAGAACCAGACCCAAAACATTTGTACTACTGGCCCTTGGTCCCAAGATGCGTGGAAAATCTTTTTCTGCACACACGCAAATACTTCCACAATTAGTAAGATAAGAGGTTCTAAGTGCCTATCACAATGGGCACATAGTAGGGCACATAGTATTCCTATCACATAGTAGGAATTCAATAATCAATGCTTGGATTGACCATTCTGACTCTGGAGCTTTCTTGTTCTTTGCCCACAGGTCTTTGTGCAATTACTGGAGTGTCTGTGTTTGCCAACATGCTCGTTACTAACTTCTGGATGTCCACAGCTAACATGTACACCAGCATGGGTGGGATGGTGCAGACTGTTCAGACCAGGTAACCTCCTAATCTAGGTCTCAGCATTCCATGGTGAATATTGTTGTAAGAATCTTATTAAGTACATGCGCCTAATGTGACTGTCAGTGCCTGAAATAGCAAAAATTTATCAGAGGCAACCATGCCATATCATAAATCAACAATCATCTGTAAATTCATAAACTTCATTTCAGTGAAATATTTTTGGTGATATGACTTGAGGCTGATCTGACATTTGCATTGAAACACAGTGACAGTTCACAGTATTTATCTAACACTCTTACACAAGCCCCATTGTGGTGGCAATGAAACGGGCAGTATTAACCCAGGCATGTAAATGAACATCAACTGACAGTCCATAACGGAAACCTAGTTAGGAACAGGTAAAAGTTTGAATAGAAATGAGCAAGGTGCAATATAGGTGAGAAGAGTGATGTTTCTTCCTTGTACAGCTGCTGCTTTCTCTCATTCATTCATTCATTCATTCATTTAAATGTATCGAGCACCTGCTGTGGGCCACGAAGTGTTCAGAGTGCTAGAGATACAAAGTCCTCACCCTCACAGAGGGTACAGTCTAGCAGAGGGAGATGAAACCCCACTATTATTTGGTATCTGGATGAGGGTAGAACTTTTAAAAGATGGGAAAGCAATACCAACACCTGTAATCATTTAGCCACTTGGAAGGGATGTATCTCATAGCAAGAAGCAGCAGCAAATTCCTGAAGGCTCTTGTTCTGGGAGAGCAATATAAATATCATACCTAAGTGACCCATCATCTCTGGAGCAGAGCACTTGGCATTTTTCCAGCCACATCAACATGAGGTATGAGGATGTGGCAGATCCATTACTCTCTGGCTCCTCAATTCCCATCCATGTTTCTGCTTTGTTTCAAGAATGGGGAAAAAATGACCCCCATAAGCTCCCTCCACCCTCTTCCATGTTCCTCCCATGGTCTCTGGGTTACTAGTACAACATGGAAGTAGGCTGACCAACTCATTCCAGTTTTGCTGGGACTTTCCCAGTTTTAGCACTAGTCATCCCACACCCTGGAAAACTCCTCCATCACAGGAAAACCAGAGTGGTTAGTCACTCTACTTGGAAGAGCCCGCCCTGCCCAAAGTATCTGTTGCTGCCTGAGGATCCACCTATCACCCACCTTGCACTCAGCACTCTCTCCTACCATCCCCTTAGCACCTACCCTGTTCCTTGAGAAGGCAGCTTCAGTCCTGGGATTAAGACTATCGGATTCTGAAAGGCCTCCTGAGCTTCTCCCTCCATGGATGGGCAGCTATGGGCAGCTGTTTTTCCCCCTTGTCTCTGTCCTCCTGTTTTCTCTACCCAGAAGTCATACAAGACAGCCCAGCTGCCAAGAAGGATCTTGGCAGCCACCTTGATGGATCTTTGGTTCTAGTGCCCTCCTTGGTCCTAGGACCCCTTCCCTCCTGTCCCCCCATTCTGTCATTGCCATGTCACGTATAACACTGGCAGAGCCTAAGCCTGGACTGGAGCGACAAACCGCCTGCCCTTGCACAGTACACAGCCTACAGGGTGTTTTGCATGAGCCTAAACATTTTATTTTACAATCTGAACTGATCGCCAACTTTTTAAAATCAGAAGTGTTACAAAACGGGTTCCTCAAAAACAGATCATATTAAGAGGACCCCTGTGCGAGTATCTGTACAGGAAGGGAAGGCTGGTGAGGGAGGGAGGGGAGCAGGGCTGGACCAGAGGGCAAGCCAGGCAAGGGTGTGATTCCAGGTGAAGCCCGGACTCTGCCTGGCCTGAGGGGAGCTGTGCAGGGTAAATTATGCTTCAGAGTCATCTCGATTCCAAACTAAAGAGCTGGGCTTTCATACCTCCGTGCCAGTCAGTCTCTGTGGGCAAAGCAGCTCTAGCACGTGAATCAAACTAGAATCCCAGGGACAGTCACAGGGCCAGCAGGGAAAGGCAAAAGAACACTCAAGCTGGGGAAGAGCCACACAGAAATGGTTACGGGGCAGAGCACTACAGGTGCCTACCACAAGGAGATTTCCCACCACACACACACACACACACACACACACACACACACACACACACACACACACACACACAGGTTTCCCAGCTTTGTGTAAAAAGAAAATTCAGAAGATCTGGCAGCTACGGGCCCTTGTTCTCATATAGCAGCCCTCTCTGCCGCTGTCCCCTCAGCCAGGAGTCCCTCTCCAGTCTCCCACAGTCCCCGCTACTTTCGGATGGCCCAACTCTGAGGCCATTTATCATCATGCCCATGAGGTAAGTGTTTAGGTTTGCTAACCTTGACCCAGAGTGTCTAAGCTGAGGGAGGGGAGCGTGTTCCCCATGCACAGAAGATAGTATAGCTTAACAATTCACAAGGAGGGCTCTGAAGGCAGAGTGACCTGAATTTGAATCCTGACAATGTCATGTCCTCCTGAGTCTTCAGAGAAGTTACTTAACTTCTCTGAGCCTCGATCTCCTCATTTGTGAAATGGGAGTGATAAATCCTATCACAGTGGCCAGTGGGAGAACTAAATGAGATAGTGACAAAGAGTGTTTATCACTACATCAGTGAGGGCTCGATAACTGGCAGCCATGTTTGTTATCATCATTAACATTATGTAGTCACTCAACCTTATATAGGGGTATCAAGGACAAGGGCTCTGTCTGTGTCAGGGCAGAGAGACCAGGGCTGCCCCCAGGAAAGTCACCCAGGGGTCCCCCAGGAGAAGCCCCAGGAAAAGGCCAGCTGCTCAGCCCCCAGCCACACTAGGCAGAATGAACGGGTGGGGTTCATTCCAAGACAGCAGCCCTCAGATCAAATATCTGTACTTTTCCCAGTCCAAAGGAACTAAAAAAAGCCCATAGTTAAATTTTCTCCCAAAACTTTTTCAAGGGCTGAGTTCAGTAAACTAGTTTTGCCCTATTTATTACACTTAGTCATGAGATTTATACTATTTATTTTAATCCTGCTAAAATGTGTGTGCTTTTTAAGCACATCTAAAGTGTTGTATTTTCTTAGGTTGCAGAGGTGTTCACACATAGTGCTGTTTTCCTACTTCTGGTGTAATGATCTTAGTTTGTGTAGTAGATTGTAAACATACCAGCAATTCATGGTGTTCTTCCAACAGTCCCCATGCTCTTTGAAACACAAAGGGAAACCTCCAAGGGAAGGCACCACTGTGCTGAGCTCTGCTTTTCTGCTCTTGGAGATGGAGGTCGTCACCACCTAGCATCCAAAATACTCACTGACATCCTAACAGTTTGGGGTCACTGAGGATTTGGGATACCTCTCTCTACCATCCATTTGGAATCACAATTATTTTATTCTTGGGATATTTTGTTCTCAATCTTGTTCTGATGTAACTGAGTCCCACCGGAGGCAGCCGCATAGGGCAAGGGCACCAGCTTGGGACTCAGACCGCCTCAGGTGAGAATTCCAGTGTGGGCCAGAGCAGAAGCACCAGGAGAGCAGGGTCTCTGTGCTGTTCACATCTATGTCCCAGTGCCAGGGCAGTGCCAGGCACATAATAGGAGCTCGATTAATACTTGTTGAACAAATTAGTAAACAAATGAATGAAAGAATGAATGGTCGGTCACTCCAACTTAGTTCTTTCTGAAGATAAGATTCCCACCTGTGTGGGTGGTTACAGGGGTTACTGGAGATAAGTTAAGAGGAATGCTTCTTGGCCCATGGTGAGAACTTAAGGAACTAAAATTCCTTCAGAAATCATAACTTGAGACTGATTCCATATCTCTCAAATTTCTCTTACCAAACCTTCAAGATACTTCCCTTTGCCAGTAGAGAGGGGAGGGGGACTTCCTGAGATCCTTTTCAGAGATCAGGTTTATAATCTTATGCCTGAGTGATGCTAGGGTCCAGGTGATGCTATTTTGCTGACTAGCTTTAGTTCCAATCCTAGTCTCCAGGGTACCTGATCAGTTGGCTGTGACCCAAAGGAGTGTGTGTTCAGGCGCCATGGACAAGGATAGATGTGGAATCCAAAAATGGGGACAGAGGTAACAGGCATGGCCAGGGCAGAGGGCGGAGGCTGGAGGGTTGAGTCAGCCACATTCACAGCCCCATTTCCCCACACAGGTACACCTTTGGCGCAGCTCTGTTCGTGGGCTGGGTCGCTGGAGGCCTCACGCTAATTGGGGGTGTGATGATGTGCATCGCCTGCCGGGGGCTGGCACCCGAGGAAACCAGGTGAGTCTCCCCATTCCACGCAATCAGATGTTTCAGTTGTTCAGAGTGCATTTTAACGTATAATTTGCAGCCAGAATGATTAGTCTAGGTATATGGAAGAAGTTTATTAACTGAAAGATGATTGGATCTTCTTTTTTATGGGGAACTATAGAACAGAACAGGAATATTTCAGCCTGGGCAGATTTAGGTGTGATCCTATTTGAAGGAAAAACCCATCCCTCTAGGTTCCCTCTATTAACAGCTCTAAATGTTCTTTAACTCAGTGGTTCTAAGCTGGAAGCAATTTTCCCCCACTTAGGGGATATTTGGCAACATCTGAAGACACTTTTAACTGCTACATCTTTGGGAGGATGGAGGAAAGTGATACTGGCATCTAGTGGGTAGTGGCCAGGGCTGCTGCTAAACATCCTACAATGCACAGGACAGTCCCACAACAAAGAAGCATCTGTTCTAAAATGTCAACAGTACTGCTGTTGAGGAACCCTGCTGTAACTCCATAAATGGAGCTGGAGTTGGGAGAGCTGGATTCCACTGTGGCTCTACTGCTAACTAGCCCTGTGACCTCCAGCAGGTCACTTGCCCTCTCTGAGCCTCCATAAAATGAGCAGATTAGAGGAGAGGGGCTGCATACAGGTATCTCCCAGCTCACAAATTCTATGATTGTTTGGCTTAACAGTGTTCCCCTGGGCACTGTTTCTGGTTCAGCTTTATTTTTATTGATTAACAGAGAGAACTCACTAGTCACTAACTACCAGCTTTGCAAAGCTCTAACACAATGTAGAAAATTCTACTCCACTGCAGAGGTAGGAAACCAGTGCCCCCAAAACTAGGGTGAGCAACTGTCCTGGTTTGCCCAGGACTGATGAGCTTTCAGGGACACTATACTTTGGGTGCTGAAACTGAAACAGTCCAGGGTAAACAAAAGGTTGGTCCTCCTACCAAAAACATTTGCGATCATGGAATGTTTCTTTTTCTTACAGCTACAAAGCCGTGTCTTATCATGCCTCAGGCCACAATGTCGCCTACAAGCCTGGAGGCTTCAAGGCCAGCACTGGCTTTGGGTCCAGCACCAAAAACAAGAAGATATACGACGGGGGTGCCCGCACAGAGGAAGATGTACAATCTCATCCTTCCAAGTATGACTATGTGTAATGCTCCGAGACCCCTCGACATGAGGAGAAGAAACCCTGCAAAGAGAGCTCACCCCCAAAACAAGGAGATCCTACCTTGATTCCTCATTACTTTTGACTCACAGTCAGAAGTTAGAAAAGGCTTAATTTCATCTTTGGTGAGGCCAGATGGTCTTGGCCACATGTCTCTCTCTAAATATTCCATCACAAAACAGCTGAGTTATCATTTATAAATTAGAGGCAATAGCTCACATTTTCAATCCTGTATTTCTTTTTCTAAATATAACCTTTGTAATCTGATGATAGAATGTGGTTTGAATTCCTATCTGACACTTTGATGATTTAGACAGACTCCCCCTCCTCCTTCCAGTGGATAAACCCATTGATGATCTATTTCCCAGCTTGTCCCCAAGAAAATTTTTAAAAGGAAAAAAGGAGAATAGACCAAAAGACATTATTTTATGCTGTTTGATTTTTGCCTCCTCCACCCCCAACTTGGCTACTAATAGCACTAATTGAAGAAGAAGTGATAGGGAAAGGTATTTGTAATCTCTCCAGCCCGTTATCTGTTTTCTTACACTGTGATCTTAAAAGTTACCAGACCAAAGTGATTTTCGGTTTGAGGCAACCAAGCCTGTTGGCATCTGCTGATTCCAGCAAGACCTTCCCAGGGTTTTCTGAGCGCTCCACTGAAGTTCTCTTTCTGCCACAGGTCAGAAATGGTCCCTAGAGAAATGAGAAAAGGGTTTTTATGTTTGTAATCTAAGTCCTAATCATAGTTAGAATAAACAGTGTATTAGTAAAGTGACACATTATCTCTGTGAATTAGCCCCACCCCTGCACATAGATAGAAGGAAATGAAAAAATAATTGCTTCATTATTGTCTGTATTGTACTTCATAAAGTCACACTCAAGTGTAAATTTCATGAAAGCCCACTGATTCTAATTCTTCCCTTTTGAGGCCTCCACGACTCTTATTACACATGATAGTAAGTGTCACTCATGTAAAAAATAAATAATGGAACACAGTAAGTCCTAGGAAGTGGGTTAAAACCAGTTTTTGTTTTTTTTTAAAAAAGTGAATCTAAATTTAATGTTATGTCTCCAAGTGACCCATGTCCACGCTTGCATGGTTACAAGCCAGTTGACAGTCACACTTATTCAGCACTGTGACAGTTTTGTTACCCTGAGAGCTGTTCTCTTCACTAAATTCACCTGGAGTGGTTGGACCATTGGATGTTCAGGCAGAACTGGAAGCTCTTTGCAGCCACACACCTTCCCTGTCCTTACACCACTGCCCTTTTGAGCAGAAAGCCTAAACTCCTTCTTCCAAGATACCAGAATCCCATTGCAGCACCGAAGCCAGAATAGGCCCCCTGGGAAACCCAGGTAAGGGCAGTCTCTAAAAACCACCAAATCAGGAAGCAGCACTGGCGCTGGGAGTATTTGGCCATTGGGTTATTATTTGGGGAAAAAAGTCCTTACATCAATAGTGCATATGAAAGCAGCCTTCAAAGGGATTGGTGAATATTCATAGGGATTTTCAGGCTGAACCGACTATGTGTAGAGAAAGATCAGATCATGCCCCATTAAACAGTAAGGAGTCGTGTTCACCAAGAGCCAGGGCAGTAAACTCAGATATCCTTCTCATTGAGACAGCAATGGTGTAAGGCCAAATTGGAGGGGGCACTCGTGGAACTCACTGCCTGAGACGGGGTAAAGGATGAACAGACAAATCAATTCAAGGTAAAAAGAAAGAAACGGGGGTGATGAGCAATCTAGGACATGGAGATTGTTAAGAGTCCTTGGCATTTGAGCTGAAGGTCACCCATTTGAGTTGAAGGCTTACCCACATGAGCTCTCCCTCCTACCACCAGAAAGTCCCCGGTCAGGTCTGAAGCAGTGAGGTGTGGCTCAGCTGGGTTTTTAATTAGCACATTCTCTATCCAACACTTAATTGTCTGAAAGTCTCCATATAGTTAAATTGTGCTTTGTAATTTTGTTGTTGTTGCTCTGTCTTATTGTATATGCATTGAGTATTGATCTGCATGTTTTGTTACTTAAATATTAAAAACACTGTTATCTTACACTTGAATAGCTTCTACTCTTTTTTCCTAAATTTTAGGAAATGGACTTGGGAAATGGAGGTAGGAAGCTGAACGCATCTTCCATGATCTGTGTCTGCTCAGCAGCAGCCTAGCTACCTGGAGGCCAACGAGATGTGGGTTCAGCCCAGTTAGTGGTTTCTGCAAGTTGGGAAGCCTTAATAAAGGCAGTTTCCAGAGCAACCAGGCATGCAGCATGGGGTCCCAGGACCACGTTTAGCCTGTCTGACCCTGAGTGCACCAGCCTGAAGTGTCTATTGTCATTGGCCTATCCATGGGCCAGTAAAACAAGAGAGCCAGTGCCTGCTCTCTTGATGCTGCCAAGGGTTGGGTTGATCAGCTCAATAAGCTGTACTAACTGAGGCTGTGTCAGGCTATACAAACAGCGTAAGCTGTAGAGTCAGAACAGCCAACTTCAAATCCAGGTCATACAACTTCCCAGCTATGTTAACTTGAACAAAGCCCTTAATCTTTCTTTTTTTTTTTTGACACCCAAATCTCTTTTATTGGGGGGGGGAGGGAATGGGCCTCTTGGGAATGGCCCTCACTGCACGGCTTGTGCATTGGCGCTGCTTCCCGAGTCCTGGGGCTTCATCACGTCTGGCAGCTCTGGCGGGCTGGAGAAGGGCTCGATGCGCAGCGCTTCAAAGGCATCATCTGCCCTAAAGGCCAGCCCCACTGTGGCTGTGGCCTGTGGCCGTTCCGTTTGGCTACTGAAGCCACACTCGCCCAGCGTCTTGCCATCATCCAAGAGCTGGTCGTCCTTGTACTGCCGCTGCTCGTCAGGCGGCCGCTTGAGGATACCCTTCGCGATGCGCTTCAGTTAGAACACGGTGCTCGATTCCTTGGAATCCGTGAAGATGGTATGGTGGTCTTGTGGCGCCGGATCATGAGGAACTCGTCCTGGGGGCGGCCGGCCAGCATGAGCGCGGAGCTGGGATCCCCCGCGCGGCCCGCCGCCCCCGGTCCCGGCCGCCTTTCTTATTTTCTCATCTATAAAATAGGGATAATAAGGATAATGGAATAATGCAAGTAAAGGACCTACTTAAGTGCCAGACACCCAACTTGCACATCTGCCTTATGTAACTGGGATATCTAAGGACAGGGGAGGCTTCAGGCACAGCTGGATCAAGGGATATGTTTAAGGCTCTACCTTTCTCCATCTATATCTCAGTTCTGCTTTCCTCTCTGTTGGTTTGTTTCTTGGAAAGATTAGATTGTTCTACATTTGCTTCTTCTATCTGAGCCCCTCAAAAAAAGATTGTTTCACAGGGTAGCAGTGATGGCTGCTCATATTCCAGCCATACAGCCATGTTTCAGTTAGGGAACCCAGTCAAAAGGAGGCATCTCTTTCCTGATATCTGTAGAGAAAAATATCCTGATAAAACTCACTAGACTATATGTGTCATGTACCCATCCCTAAACTTCTCCCCATAGCCAGAGCAGTGGTATCTATCTTGGTGAAGCCTAAGTCTCTCAGTCAAAACATGGAGATTTGTCATATGCCACAAAGACTGTATTCTAAGGACCAGAGTCCTTAAAAATCAGGCAAATTCCTTGCATCACCTCATCTTTTCTCCTTTGGTTGAACCTGAACTCTAAGAAAAGCTTCAGTGGCATATAACTTCGAGTCTCTCTCATCAGTTGCCAAACAGTATATAGCACAGAGAGGAAGGCTCTGAGAGATTACCCTGGTTCTCAAAAAAAACCTGATGATTAAAACCTAAAGAATATCCCCCAAAAACCACTTTGCATTCAATTTTAAACAAGTAAGATTACAAAAGTGATTAACAGAAAACTGTTATATACTTTTGAGCTATTCAAATTTAGATTTCCTAAAATTTAGGGGCATTTTGAAGACTCCCTGTGAAAAGACAGAAATGGATTCATCAAGCCCTGAGTACATGCTCAAAATATGACTCACCACTGTTACCCACAAAAATCCCTGGAGTCCCCAGTAGCTGACTACTGAGTGTTTCACTGTTGTCTACCTTAAAGTCCAAAAACAAGGGGTTTAATCAATGTTTCTGTGGTATGCCCAATTCTTTTACCTTTTTCATCAGTAGTATCTAGCCCCCTCCTGCCTCCACAAGACATTATTTATCCCAGATTGACCACTGCAGTGGTCAAATGGTCAATTTTTGCCAAAAAGCCTCATATCTCAGAGTTGATATGTTCCACTGAAGAGAGCACTAGACTTGGATTCAGAACCTGGATTTCTGCTCCTGACTCCATTGCCAACAAATTGTGTGACCTCACAAGATCAATTACAATGATTCACTGACCTGTTTTCATTATTTCATTTCTTTATTGAGCCTTCATGATAATCAGTACTGTGCTTAGTGCTTTATATACTTTATCTCTAATCTTCCAAAAACCTTGCTCTCATCCCACTAATCTCCACTGATCTCCAACCTGGGCCAGTCTGAGTAGCCCAGACCCTCAACAAGGATCACACCCACACAAACACACACAAACTCACACACAGTCACACACACACACTCATACCCAGTTAGATTTCCGGATCCTCACCAGGGACCATAATTTCTTTGATTTTTCTATTCTTAAGCGTTTGCATATGCCTCAGAACTGCTTTTGAACTGTTCCATTCCTGCCTGCTGAAGCCAGGCTGATTTTTCATACTTCCCAATCTACAGTTAGAAAGGAAAGGGAGTATTCTCTTCCAAAAAGCCCAAATAAATGTGGAATGAGCATGTGAAGTGTTAAGACTTGAAAATAAGCAGAAAGTTCCCTTGTGGTTTAGAATTAAATGTAAGATACTATGTGTGGAGACAAAATGTCACTAAAATTCTTTAAATGCATCCAAATTCCATTCTGGAGCAAGGGTATTTAATTTAGATAACCAGAAAAAGTGTCTATCAGTGATGGGTTTTAGTGTACACTTCTCACAATACTCAATACTAAAGGTAGCTGCTACCTAATGACCAAATAAAATGAAATCTCTTAGGCATCCCTGCTACAGAGGGTTGCTAAAAGAAATCATAGACATCTTCCTTAAAGAAACTTGTGGGGGTGGGAGGACTGGATCCCACTTGGAGACCAAGGAACATATAAGTTTCTTCCATAAAAAACATTATATTTTGTCCAATCTTTGAACTTAAACTTTTAGAGGAATATAAGATAATGTTATATCTAATATGAAAGAGGGCTAAAAGTATTTGTCCTTTAATCAAACAACTCCCCTTCAAATTTCTAAGGAAATAATCATAAATATGTATGCCCAAAGGTATATATCAATTATTTAAAATAACATAACTGAATTAACCTAAACATCCAACCAGAGAAAGACTTATGATGGTTTTTACATATAAGTAAACCATTATACAACCCTTAAAATTATTAAGATTTTTTTCTAATATTA